AAACCATACATTATACATTATTAGTAATGTTTCCTGTTTGGGTGTTAAAGATACTGCAGGTCTGCTGAATGCTTGATTCTGATTGGCAGATGAGCAGATAAATGCACAGCTAAAGTAGTTCCGGCAGGTTTAAAGCGCATTGCAGCTCCATATCACTACGCTGAATTATTCAGTAGTATCTGAATGCAGCCTTCATGATGTGAACTGAGATTGCAGACTCAATGGAGATAGTGACGTCACTGTGAGGGTTAGTGGTGGGGTTAGCACATTAAAAGGCATTGCATGCAGCTCAGATTGCATCTGCACCAAGTCTGCAGCCAGACCCCTCTCCAACTATTAGTTATTTCACAGTCAAAATCACATTAAAACACAACTGAAGGCTTTGGATGAAACTATGCTAAACACCAGCGCAGTTGGAGGATGAAAACCTGACGAGAGTCTTAAGTACAACATGTAAACAGTGACTTTAGCAGACTATTGCACTCCAGCATGTTGAACTATTGGAAAATAACGCAACCCCAATGTGTAACCACTTCAGTTATGCGGTATAATTTCAATAATTCAACAGTCTGTTGTCAGTGATTCCTAATTATTACACTTAATGGTGCCATGAAGGTTTTTAGATGTTATCATCGGTATGCTAATGTTTCTAAAACAGTGACAAAATTCACATTTAGAAGATAATAACCTGATATAAACATCCAAAGCTTCCAGTTTGCCACTTCTGCCTGAGTGGATCAATGATTGTTTTGACGTCAGTTCATACTTCAGTTTCTTATCAAATCTTCTGACCAATCAAATGCTCTCAAGCGTCTGAGGCTTTTCATTTGATTCGCTTGAGTTCAATCACTCTTTTCAGCAGAGCTGTGAGAAAAACAAAAGGCTATTGGCTGTTTTTTGAAAAGGGGAGGGGCTACTCTATGTCTTGCCCTCTCTTCATGATTCAATTGAGATTACCTCGAATATCAAATTAAAAAAAATTAACATTTCAAAGCACTTCACGAGACCTTTAACGGCCCATTCACACAGAGCGTCAGCTTCAGCGCATCCCATTTACTTTGAATGGGTGACGCCAGGCGTTGCCGATCTGCATTGTGGATCCGTCGGCTCAGCTTTAGAGGTGTTGCTCGCTGCAAAAGTTGGAACTTGCTCCACTTTTCAAACACTGACGGAAGCGTCAGCCAATCAGATTGCTGTATGCAAATACACCATCTCAGACAGTGGCCTATTGCTGACTAATTTTATTGGCTGATGCTGCTATGACGATCATGTCAGCCCCAACTTCAGACATGCGTTCTGGTAAGCGTTGACGCTGAAGCACCGTGTGAATCGGGCATAACTGTTGATTTTTGAAACTTTTTTAATTCTCAGAATATTTCGCAACTTTTAAAAAACTAAACATGCATTTCATTGGTCATTATTATTTGAGTATTTCCTATTATATAAAAATATAGGACCCTATAAAGTATATTTTGTCATCTCGCTAAGCTGCTGAGCCAGTCAGGTCGAGCTTTTGTGCTTATTGTTTATTTATTTATTTATTTATTTATTATTATTGTTTTTTAAATTACAGCCAATGAAATTCATTTCAATGTGAAATGTTATTGGCCACAATAACACTGTGTGTGTGTGTGTGTGTGTGTGTGTGTGTGTGTGTTTTAATTAATTGAATGTCTTTGGTTTACGAGATTTACGATAACTAAATTCCGATTTCTACATGCCATTTCTAGCACACAGAGAAAAAAATTGACTTGTTTTAAATATAAAATCTCATAGTACGACATAGAACGTCAAAACTGACACACTAGGCTACTGCGTTTAAGATTAATGCGTAGAACAAAAGTGCTAATCTATCACGCGAAAAAACAGTACATTTACATCACAAATATGATTGTAATAAACATATTTGCAGTTACATAATTTTTACTTTTTATTTTCTTAGTTGTGACTTAAAGGAGACCTATTATACCCATTTTACCAAGATGTAAGATAAGTATCAAATGTCTCTAGAGCAGGGGTGGGCAAACTCGGTCCTGGAGGGCCAGTGTCCTGCAAAGTTAAGTCCCAACACTAATCAAACACACCTAAACATGCTTGTCAGTGTCTTCAAGAACACTAGAGATCTATAATCAGGTGTGTTTGATTAGAGTTAGAGCTATACTGTGCAGGACACCAGCCCTCCAGGACCGAGTTTGCCCACCCCTGCTCTAGAGTGTTCAGCTCAAAATACCACACACTAATAATGTTTTGTAACTCTTTGAAAATGACCATATTAGGCTTTATTATTAATTATGGCGTTTTGGTGACGGTCGCTTTAAATTCAAATGAGATGAATATGCTATTTTCAAAAGAGAGCGGGGCTACAGACATATGTGTGTCAGCATAGTGGCAGATTCAAAACAGCTGCTTCTCACTGCAGGCTGTTTATACTAATGAGGGAGCGATGGGCACTAGTGGGCGGAGCTTTTCCCTTCTGATGACATCATACGAAGGGAGAATATCAATCTAAGGGTTTCTGCAGACTGCTTTTATCAACTCTGATTATAAAAAATACAATTAATTGATTTTGATCATTAGATGCTGTATATATTTACACACTGCTGACACACAACTTTGTTTAAACCCCTTATAAAAGTGATTTTTGCATAATAGGTGCCCTTTAAGCTCAATTCAACATTAGTTTTCTTTGAAATGCATGTTTTTCTCATTTTGACTTTGTCATCACCTTTGTACATCATTTTACTAATACATTTAATAAGAAATAGTTTTTGCTTTTGATTTTAAAATCAATAAATATGGCTTTTGGTTCATCATTATACATATTTAACCTTCATTTTGATGTAGTACACCATAACCTAGATGTTTAATCTCTCAATTAAGACTATCTCAAACTTTTATCTCATAATTACAATTTAATACGTATTGAAGCTTTTAGACTTTGGGTCTCATAATTGTGACTTTGCATTTTTAACTCATGTCATAACTTTGATTGTGTCATAATCTTCCATTTACATCAAAATTATGACATTTTATCTCATATAATTTAACATTTTAACTCATAATTATGATTTATTGTCGACAGTTTGGACTTTTTTATCATTTTGTCTCATAATTTTGACTTAATATCTCATAATCTTTTAGTTACGTATCAATATTATATATCTATATCTCATATTTATGGCAATATCTCATAATTATGTTTTAGTCTTAATTAGTATTAATTAGTCATTTATTATGATGAATTAACAAAATTATGAGTACTAAAGCATTTCTTTTATTTTATGGCAAAAGTGATTAGTGCTGTATAAAGGGTTGCTTTAATTTACTGTACATCCCCACATTAAAAAACAATACTATAGTAAGTTATAGATACTAGAGTGTTATGAACCATACTATAGTAAAGTTTATTATACTGCATATGTTATAATATTTACAACGTTTGAAAATGAATGCTCCAGCATACTGCAGTATTAACTATAGTAAACTGTTAAACTGTGATAAATATTGTAGTATAATTTAGTATTTACTACAGTAAACTGTGGTGTATTGTAGTTTGATATACTCTTTGGTTGTGAAAAATAAAGTATGCATCATTGTATACATTAATATAGTTGTAGTGTAGCCATACCAACTGTAGAATCGCCACAACAGACCTATTACTGTTGTAGTTATGCTACCATAGCAACTATAGAGCAACTATAGAATCACCACAACAAATCAGTTGGTGTAGTCGTTTTGTTACCATAGCAACTATAGAATCACCACAACAGATCAGCTACTATATTTGTTCTGTTACCATAGCAACTGTAGAATCGCCACAACAGATCAGTTCCTATAGCTGTGGTGTTACCATAGCAACTATAAAATCAACACAACGGATTAGTTACTACAGTAGTTGTTACCATAGCAACTATAGAATTGCCAAAATAGATCAGTTACTATAGCTATTATGTTACCATAGCAACTACAGAATCGCCACAATGGATTAATTACTATAGTTGTTCTGTTACCATAGCAACTATAGATTCACCAAGGTAGAGCAGTTAGTGTAGTCGTTCTGTTACAAAAGCAACTATACAATCACCACAACAGATAAATTACTATAGTTGTTGTGCTACCATAGCAACTATAGAATCACCACAACAAATTAATTACTAAAGTTGTTGTGTTACCATAGCAACTATACAATCACCACAACAGATCAGTTATTATAGTTGTTGTGTTACCATAGCAACTATACTATCACCACAAGAGATCAGTTATTATAGTTGTTTGTATTACCATAGCAACTATACAATCACCACAACAGATCAGTTATTATAGTTGTTTTGCTACCATAGCAACTATAGAATCACCACAACAAATTAATTACTATAGTTGTTGTGTTACCATAGCAACTATACTATCACCACAAGAGATCAGTTATTATAGTTGTTGTGTTACCATAGCAACTATAGAATCACCACAACAAATTAATTACTATAGTTGTTGTGTTACCATAGCAACTATACTATCACCATAAGAGATCAGTTATTATAGTTGTTGTGTTACCATAGCAACTATAGAATCACCACAACAAATTAATTACTATAGTTGTTGTGTTACCATAGCAACTATACTATCACCATAAGAGATCAGTTATTATAGTTGTTGTGTTACCATAGCAACTATACAATCACCACAACAGATCAGTTATTATAGTTGTTTTGCTACCATAGCAACTATACTATCACCATAAGAGATCAGTTATTATAGTTGTTTGTATTACCATAGCAACTATACAATCACCACAACAGATCAGTTATTATAGTTGTTTTGCTACCATAGCAACTATAGAATCACCGCAACAAATTAATTACTATAGTTGTTGTGTTACCATAGCAACTATACTATCACCATAAGAGATCAGTTATTATAGTTGTTGTGTTACCATAGCAACTATAGAATCACCACAACAAATTAATTACTATAGTTGTTGTGTTACCATAGCAACTATACTATCACCATAAGAGATCAGTTATTATAGTTGTTGTGTTACCATAGCAACTATAGAATCACCACAACAAATTAATTACTATAGTTGTTGTGTTACCATAGCAACTATACTATCACCATAAGAGATCAGTTATTATAGTTGTTTGTATTACCATAGCAACTATACAATCACCACAACAGATCAGTTATTATAGTTGTTTTGCTACCATAGCAACTATAGAATCACCGCAACAAATTAATTACTATAGTTGTTGTGTTACCATAGCAACTATACTATCACCACAAGAGATCAGCTATTATAGTTGTTGTGTTACCATAGCAACTATAGAATCACCACAACAGATCAATTACTTTAGTTGTTGTTACCATAGCAACTATAGAATCACCAAAACTGATTAAATACTATAGTTGCTGTGCTACCATAGCAACTTTAGAATCACCACAACAGATCAGTTAGTGTTGTCGTTCTGTTACTATAGCAACTTTAGAATTATCACAACAGATCAGTTAGTGTTGTCGTTCTGTTACTATAGCAACTATAGAATCGCCACAATAGATAAGTTCCTATAATTGTTCTATTACCATAGCAACTGTGAAATTACCATAACAGATCAGTTAGCTGTTCTGTTACCATAGCAACCATAGAATTACCCTAACAGATCAGTTAGTGTAGTCGTCGTTACCATAGCAACTATAGAATTGCCACAACGGATTAATTACTAAAGTTGTTGTGTTAACATAGCAACTATGAAATCACCACAACAGATGAATTCAGGTACTTTACTATAGTATGGATCAGAAACTATAATATTTACTATAAATTGCTATAGTAATTTAATTCAGTATTTTTTCTTTTAGGTGTGGACAGAAGTGCAGCGAATGGCCTGATGACCTGAGAGTGCTGTGTTCAGGTGTCAGTGAGCGGCAGGAGGAAAGACATGAGCAAGATGATGATGATGGTGATGGACACAGACAGAGGGATGAAGAGCAGGAAGCAGGACAAAGTGACAGACGGTGGAACAGGAAACGCCATCAACGACCACTTCCTGTTGGTCGGTGCGACGTCTGTGAGGCTTTGAGTGTCTCGAGCTGCGCAGCGACAGATCACCAGCGGCCGCACCTGAGAAACACTCTCCTGAAAACACAGAAGAACAAGCAGAACACTCAGACAAACACACACCCGCTACAGGTTAGAGACTGACATAAGTGTTCTGTCATCCTCAGCCATGTTTCCATGATCCAGCAGATTTTGGAATGTTGCGTTATAAATGTCTTAATGTTTGTTATCATTAATATTTCAGTGTCATCCTCCAGTCATCACACACCTCCAGTATTGTTCTGCTGTGTGTGCGGTGAGGACTGAGCCGTAAACTCCAGCGATGTGTCCTGTGGCTCCGCCCACCATCATCTTCACTCTCAGTAGTGTCCTGCCGTGTGATTCGCTGGCGCTTTCTCTTTCGCGAGCTGATTCGCTGGAGGGAACCCGCAATCTGGAGTCTGATCCAATCACAGCACAGAGAAAGAGTTGTGAATGCAGTGATTGTGCAAGGGTGTGTGTATGTGTGTGTACACTTTGTAGCTTTGGTATATCACCAAATGTCCCCACAAGAATAACAACATCAGTAAATCTTGACCTCGTGGGGACAGTTTTGGGTCTCCCATGAGGAAAAGGGGGAGAGAATATACAGTCTGTACAGTAGAAACATCATTATGTCTGTGGAGAGTCCCCGTAAAACATCTTAACCCAACGCATGTGTGTGTGTGTGTGTGTGTCTGTTTGTGAGTATGTATGTGTAACTTTGCTTAAAAGAGTGTATGTTACTGTGAGTGATAGAGTGTTACAGTGTGTGTGTGTGTGTGTATTTGTGTGTTACTGAATCTGAGTGTGTTACAGTAAGTGTGTGCGTGTGTCTGATTGTGTGTGTGTCATTGTGAGTTATTATAAGTGTCTGTTTATATATGCAAGTGTGTGTGTGTGAGAGAGTTTGTGTTCACATGTATGCGAGTGTGTGTCTGCAAGTGTGTATTAGTGAGTGTGTTTGTTATTGTCTGTCAGTGTGTGTGTCTGTATGTGTGTTACTGTGTGTAAATGAGTGTTACAGTGTGTGCATGTGTGTGTATTTGTGTTACTGAGTCTGAGTGTGTTACAGTAATTGTGTGTGTGTGTGTGTGTGATAGTGTGAGTAATAGTGTATTACAGTGCGTGTGCATGTGTGTGTGTGCATGTGATTGTGAGAGGTATTATGAGTGTCTGTTTATTTATGCAAATGTGTGTGTGTGTGTGCGTGTGATTGTGAGAGTTTTTATTAGTGTCTGTTTATTTATGCAAGTGTGTGTGTGTGTGTGTGAGAGAGCTATTATGAGTGTCTGTTTATTTATGCAAATGTGTGTGTGTGTGTGCGTGTGATTGTGAGAGTTTTTATTAGTGTCTGTTTATTTATGCAAGTGTGTGTGTGAGAGCTATTATGAGTGTCTGTTTATTTATGCAAATGTGTGTGTGCGTGTGCGTGTGATTGTGAGTTTTTATTAGTGTCTGTTTATTTATGCAAGTGTGTGTGTGTGTGTGTGTGTGTGTGTGAGAGCTATTATGAGTGTCTGTTTATTTATGCAAATGTGTGGGTGTGTGTGTTTGTGTTCACATGTATGCGAGTGTGTGGTAGCGAGTGTGTGTCTGTGAGTGTGTGTCAGCGGGTGTTTGTCTGCAAGTGTGCATTAGTGTGTCTGTTAGTGTCTATCAGTGTGTGAGTGTCCGTATGTGTGTTACTGTGAATAATAGTGTATTACTGTGTGTGTGTGTGTGTGTGTGTGTGTGTGAGGGATTTTGAGAGTTTTTATGAGTGTTTGTTTTTATATGCAAGAGTGTGTGTGTGTTCACATGTATGCGAGTGTGTGTCTGCAAGTCTGTATTAGAGTTGGTTAGTGTCTGTCAGTGTGTGAGTGTCTGTATGTGTGTTACTGTGTATAAAAGAGTGTGTTACTGTGAGTGAGAGTGTTACAGTGTGTGTGTGTGTGTGTGTGTGTGTTACTTTGAGTGTGTTTATATATGCAAGTTTGTATGTGTGTGTGTTTGTGTGTGCATGCGTGCATGTGTGCGTGCACGTCCGTGAGTATGTGTCATTGAGCTTGTGTCCTCAAGTGTGTATTAGTGTGTGTATGTTCGCAAGCATCTGTATCTTAGTGTGGGGTGTATGCGAGTGTGTGTACAATGTGTGTGTGTGTGAGTAAGTGAGTGAGCGAGTGAGTGTTTGTTACTGTCTGTCTGCCAGTGTGTGTCTCACTCACTCGCTCTCTCTCTCTGTCTCTGTGTGTGTGTGTGTGTGTGTGTCAGACCTGCTGTCGGTGTCCTCTATGTCTGCGTCTGCATCACTGTCTCCCTGAAGATGCGTCTGCACACACTCCTCCTGAAACAGCAGTCAGATGAGTGAACACTTCTCTACATAGGACTCAGTCAGTGTGTGTGCGTGTGCGTGTGTGTTTGCTCACCTCTGTGCCATATCCTTCTGAGTATCTGGTGATCAGCGGCCGGTTTTTACCACACTGGACACACTTTACACTGCTGTCCTGAGGAGAGACAGGGACATGATCAGGTCAGGACTTACACTGTAGCACTCACTTTACTTTCATTTACAGCTGAAGTCAGAATGATTAGCCCTCCTGTTTATATTTCTCCTCTGTATTTTCTGTTTAACGAAGACAATATTTTCTCAGCACATTTCTAATCATAATAGTTTTAAAAACTCATCTTTAATAACAGATTTATTTTATCTTTGTCATGATGACAGTAAATTATAATAGACTAGATATTCTTCACTAGTATTCAGCTTAAAGTGACATTTAAAGGCTTAATTAGGTTAAAGTTAGGGTAATTAGGCAAGTGACTGTATAACAGTGGTTTATTCTGGAGACAATACAAAACTTGCTTAAAGGGGCCAATAATATTGACCTTACACTTTTTTTTTTTTTATCAAAAACTGCTTTTATTCTAGCCAAAATCAAACAAATAAGCCTTTCTATAGAAGAAAAAATATTATCGGACATACTGTGAACATTTCCTTGCTCCATTAAATATCACTTGAGAAATATTTGACAAAGGATAAATTGTTCACCGGAGGGTAAATAATGTTAGTAATGCTTGGCGTCAACTGTTTGTTGTGTAGTTCTTAGGAAGGAAAGGGCTAAATTAATTAATAAAAACTAAAAAAAATCCATAAATGTTAAATAAAGAAGCAACTGGTGGTACTTAAATAGACCAAAATGTTGTTGTTTTTTTCATATAATGTTTTATTTATTATTTAAAACACTATTTTATTATGGTTTGGGCGTTTAAATGTATATTTAAATGTAATTTATATTTTTATTTGTTTAAAATGTATGCATTTGCAGTCAATAGGTTTTTTTCTCTTCTCACCAAGGCTCTGTTTATTTTATATTACAGGGAAAATATGTGAAAAATTTCTGCAGCCCTGACCATACCTGTCAACATTGGGATGTGAAAATAAGGGATGTGCCCACCATAATGAGGGATTCCCCTGACCCTACCCGTATAAAAATGCACACATCTAACATTATAATGAAAGCATTTGACTGCTTTCCTAACTTTTTATGCTTATTTAGGATGAAATTAGTTGTGTTTGAAAAAAAAAACACCCACTGAGATCGACATCTTTAGATGGTATTATTAGTTATGTGGATATCTGTTTAAACACACACCCAACACCCAGACTTTTGCTCCGCTTCAAATCTCATGTACAGAATCCATTTGGGAAACAGCGTCTATTTATCACTATGGAGCGCATCAGCTGACAGTCACGCACCGCTATAGACTGTTTTGAGGATTGCATATGAAGGGGAGACACACCTGTAATGAAAAGGAAGGGAATCCCGCCATTTTAATGCTTATTTCAAAGTGTTTTCATGCCTTACCAAAGCGAAAGCACAGAACAGACTCATATTTAAGAGCGAGGGACGGCCCCTGGTGGTTCGGCGGTATGGGTTGAGTATAGGGAGGCTTGACTCTTTAATGTCTATTTGCCAACCTTCAGAGAAAGACTGAAAATACAGGAGAAATACAAGAAAATACCTTTACGGGATGACAGCGGGATAGAACAGTAAAATATGGGAGAATCCCGAGAAAAACGGGAGGGTTGACAGGTATGGTCCTGACTCACAAGCTATGAGCGTCCAGTAGGTGGCGCCACAAACTTAGCTACTGCAGCAATGATAGAAAACATGCAGTTTGTGCATGTGTGTGGAAACGTAACATTCTGTAGTGCAATATTTAAGGTTATTTGGAGATTTCAGACATCCGCAACGCATGGGATGTCTCCACATATGTAGTCTCCACTACACTTCATAATCTGTAATTGCCTCTCTGAATATCACACTAACTGTACAAAAAAAAAAAAAAAAAAAAAAAATTAAATAAAAAAAAATAAAATAAATAAATAAAATAAAATAAAATACTAATACTACTAATACTTCCCTTCTTAGACTTTACAGACCTGAAACTTGCTTATAGCACTTATTCATTGTTGCTCTTGGTTGTGTAAACTGCTTCCTTGTCCTCATTTGTAAGTCGCTTTGGATAAAAGCGTCTGCTAAATGACTAAATGTAAATGTAAATGGGAGTAAACAAAGAGCAGAGGAAAAGTCAGCAGGCAGTATGGACCTCCTCACCACTCCATTTTTAAAGCCATAATCGCTGTAAAATGACAAGAAAAAAGTTTTCTCCCCCAGAATGCTCGTCACACGTCTCGCTGCCGCAGCTGGTTTAATTAAAAAAAGCTAATTACTGTTTTTGCATTTGGGTCCGTTCACACCAAAAATTAACCAAAGCCGGTTTGCTTGAAAGCATATTGACACCAGCTCTTCTAGCAGGTCTCAGTACGCTTATCTGGTCGACTTTTAGTCACACCAGAATTTCGTAATTTCGTTTTCCATGATTTTCGCTTTCACACCTACCCAAGCGAAAAACCTGCTGAGGTCTATGTGATGTGATATTACATTCTGGAAACGTAGCCCCGCGGAGACCACGATTTCTGGAGACCACGATTGGCTGCATTTAGTTTTTTTTTTTCGAGCGAACGCTGCGGGGCGGTGTGACGCCGCTCTTCCTCTTCGCGCTCGCCGGCTGACGACTCGCCTCCGTGTGGAGGGCTTTCCCGCTGCAACTAGTTTGTCTGCTTAGCTCGCAGTGTTACGTCGGCGATTCCACAATGAGCCGGGGTTGTAATAATGACAACAACGAACCTATTAGAAATAGATAAAGAATATATTACGATGAGCACATTAGGGTGACACGGTGGCTCAGTGGTTAGCACCTCACTCACAGCAAGAAGGTCACTGCTTCAAATTCCAGCTAGGCCAGATTTCCTCCATGTGCTCCGGTTTCCCCCACAGTCCAAACACAAGCGCTTTAAGTAAATTGAAAAAACTAAATTGGCTGTAGGCAATTATGTTTCAAAAAATGGTTGTCATGCCAACTTTATACTATAAACAGAAGCTTGCAATGGTTGCCCCGCCTTTGAGCTCCTCTGATTGGTCCTGGAGCTGACAAAGATGAGCTGCACTGCTTATGAAAGTTGAAGATCTTTCCAACGGCGTCTAAAAAAACGCTTCAAAAGGTGCAAGCGTAGAGGAAAAACATGTCCGACATTTGCATTTACATAGAAAACCAATAGAAAAGTAGTGCATTAGAGAGTATGCACACTCTATGTGAACGACCCCCAGGTTTTAAGCAATACGAACCCTATTTCTTCATACTTTTGACAATATTTGTGACATAGACAACACATTGTAAAGTAGTATAGTCAGTTTGGCAGTGATAGATAAGAAGCTAACGCATCCCTCTTGTTAAGTCACATACCTCTGGTGAATGTTGATCATAGAAGATGGTATTTTCACACAAACACACTCCAATATTCGGTCCACAAGCCCCCATGTCCTACAGAGATGAACACGTCATGTGTGTTTGCAGTAATGACACTTGATCTGACACACACACACACACAATGGATTTGGTGGTTTATGAGGACTCTCCATAGGCCTAATGTAATTTACAGCGGTGGAAAGAGTACTGAACAATCATACTCCAGTAAAAGTACCATCACTTGCTTAAAAATGTAGTGCAAGTAGAGTAAAAGTATCTGTGTGAATGGGGTGTTAGTGTTGTTGCCATATTGTAATGAGACTATGTCTGGGCACTACAAGTCCCAGCAGGCTTAGCGCCATGCAAGGAAGTGTTGTTTATGTGCGGACACTTTATTTCCTGATTGCGGCGTAAATGAACAACAGGTTGTAGATTGCTCAGCGCTATATAAGTGAGTCAAAGTTTGTTTGCCATTTTGCTGTCGTTGTTGCATTCTGGTCGCGGCACGTAAAGGCCGGTAGGTAGTAAGTTTATTTGTGTGATGTGCGGTCTCTCTCTCTTTTTCTCGCGGAGTTTCCTTTTTTAACGCATGCATAAACTGACATTTATAGAGTCAACACTTCACGTGAGGGGTAGCTGATGAGCAAACAACATTTAATGCTGCCAGATCTTCATTGCAAACTTATTTAAAGAGGTAGTCGTTTTATAATTTTAATAAACCATTTTTAGTATTGTGTTTTAATGATATTATCCTTTTTATTTCTAGTGCTATTACGGGATCATTGTCTGCTGATTGTTGCCTGAGTGTCAGCATGGGAAATTAAGGATCTTAGAGGTATTGTTTAAAACAGAAGGGTTTTTTATCTCTCTTAATGCTTGTTTTATTTATAGGATGTTTTATTCTGTTTGTGATGTTTATATTCTGAGTTTCTGTGTTGTAATAAACTGTGTTTCCCCTTTTTAGGGATGCACGGTTGCCTTTTACTTTAGACTTACAATAATATTTTTGTTATTGAATCTTTTTTTTTGTTGACTTTTGTTGTATGCGAATTTGGGTTGTTCATTATGTTGCTAGGTTGACAACAATTTGTATTTTCCTTCTTTTGTTAAACTTTTCTTTCTTTTGTAGGTTCTGTTTTGGATTTGCTTTACCATCAGTGGCCACTGGGTTCCCTGCACTGTGGATGGCGGTGGAGAAAAGGTGGTTGGGATTGTGTGGTGATTTGGTCACTGTTGATTTTTGTGTTTTTTAGGTTGCAGTGTGATTGCTGTGAGCTGAGTGTGGTGAAAACACTGCTGCTTGGGTACCTCATCTGTCCTCACTTTCTGGGTAACCGGTGGCCATTAGTGGTTTGTTTTTTTTCTTTTCTTTTATTTAGTTTATTTACTTTTTCCTCCTTTTTTGCAATAAAGATGGAGACAATTTGTATACTACAACTTGTGAAATAAAATATAATTGTTCTCCTAATTGTAAGTCACTTCATTTACCCTCTGCTAAATCATTAACACTGACAAAAGTCATCTGGTCACAATATGTTTGAGAATTAACCATAATAATATCCTAAACATATAACCTTTATTTTACATCTACAGAATCGAGAGAAAATCCTGATTTTGATTTTAAGCACAAAAAAAACGTGTGGTTCTTATTTTAGCCTGAATCGTGCAGCCCTGGTTATACACATGTCATATACAAATTAGTGTCCTCATAAATCACCAAAACCAAACACACACACACACACACTCTCCTACCTCACAGTCATTGTCGGAGTTGTCGGAGAACAGGCCGTTTGAGTCTGAGTCTTTTCTTCTGATCAGCTCCATCTCTGCCTGACTCACTCACACCTCCACCTACACGGCCCAGCCAGAAATAAAGAAACACACACACACACACACACACACTCAAACACACATATGCAGAGCCAGGCACAGAGACAAATGCATCTGCTGACATTCCCATTCAGTAATTACAGCAGAAAATGTTCCCTGAGAGTTGTGGGAAGGCTTAAGGTTGGTTCATCTGCGAGTATACTTCTGTCATCGATCATTCGCACACTGTTTGTCGTTCATCTCAACACAAATGAAAATATCTGAATTAAATGAGAGATATTTGTTCATTCATTAATAGTCGGATCTGCAGGAAGGTGGCTCTTCCTGGAGAGCCACCTTACTGCAGATTTCAGTTGCTACCCATATCAAACACACCTGAACCAATTAATTAGGACCTGAACACCACTTGATAATTACAGGCAGGTGTGTTTGGTATGGGTAGCAACTGAAATCTGCAGGAAGGTGACTCTCCAGGAACAGGATTGAGCACCCCTGTTCTAAACGTTCATCAAGAGATCCAAAAATAAACCTTTAGACATGATCACTCACTTGTTAAGATGAGCAGATTTCATTTATTTATTGATCAGCAAACATAAACAGAAGGTCACCAAAGCACTTTTGTTCACAGAGAAGCTGAAATGTGCAAGATACAATAAGAGTCGTTTCGTTCTCTCACATGAAAAAACTACCCTTATTTGTCCTCATAGACGGGTGGCATGGTGGCTCAGTGGTTAGCAGAAGGGCAGGAAGGTCGCAGGTTTGAGTCCCGGCTGGGTCAGTAGGTGTTTCTGTGTGGAGTTTGCATGTTCTCCCCGTGTTGGCGTGGGTTTCCCTCACAGTCCAAACACATACAGGAGAATTGATAAACCAAATTGGCCTAAGTATTTGAGTGTGTGTGTGTGTGTGAAGGCGAGTGTGTATGGGTGTTTACCAGTACTGGGTTACAGCTGGAAAGGCATCCACTGTGTAAAACATATACTGGATAAGTTGCCGGTTCATTCCGCTGATAAATAAAGGGGCTAAGCCAAAGGAATTGATTGAATGAATGTCTTCATAGATTATCTCACATCAAGAATGAACTTCAGTGGTTCTCACATGTCAAAATTAAGTCTTATTGGTCCTCACTGGTTCTCATATGCCACAAGTAAACATCATTGGTTTTCATATGTCAAATATGAGCCTCATTGGTTTTACAATGTCAAGGTTGAACTTCATTGGTTGTCACATGTCAATGAGCCTTATCCCTTTGTTTAGTCTGATGTCACCTAAAGAAGCTTCCAGGTTCAAGCTCTCTATCAAACTGTACGGGGAGCATCAACAAATGGTACTGATAAACTTTTACAAAGCGCTTTAATACTTTCAAAAAATGATTCCAATATACAGCTGAAGTCAGAATTATTAGCCCCCTTCAGTTTTTTTTTCTTCTTTGTTAAATATTTTCTAAACGGTGTTTAACAGAGCAAGGAAATGTTCACAGTATGTCTGATAATATTTTTTTCTTCTGGAGAAAGTCTTACTTGTTTTATTTTGGCGAAAAATAAAAGCAATTTTTTATTTTTTAAACAGCATTTTAAAGTCAATATTATTAGCCCCTTTAGGGCTGTATATTTGTTTCCGATAGTCTACAGAACAAACCAACATTATACAATAACTTGCCTAAATACCCTAACCTGCCTATGTCACCGGGTGTCAATGGAGCGAAGACAAGAGGTTGGATCCAAATGCAATTTTTAATGAAAAAGACTATTCCTGCAGGCAAAAACAAATGAGGTCAAAAAACAAGAACTCAGGTATCATAAAGGGCATCGAAACATGCAAAAACAAAGCGATGATCAAAGTACAAAAAGTTACAAAACAATCATCAAAACATAACTAGAAAAACTATAAACAGCACTACACTCACTGAAACCATACAGGTGCTGACAAACAAAGATTCCACCTTGACTGGTGTGTGCAATGTGTATAAACAGTCCAAACAATTGATGATGACGATATTCAGCTGTGTGTGATTAATAGTGACTGGTTTGTGCAAAGGCATGCTGGGATATGTAGTTCATGAATGACATGTGTAGTATGCCAGCGATCTTTCAGGAACAGATTGCTGGTTATGTGACAGCCTAGTTAACCTAATTAACCTAGTGAAGCCTTCAAATGTCACTTTAAGCTGTATAGAAGTGTCTTGGAGAATATCTAGTCCAGGGGTCACCAACATGGTGCCCGCGAGGATCTCATGAGTTGCCCGTGGGCCTGTTATAAAATTAGCTTACCATAGCACCACATACCAGTAAGCTGCATCTAATATTTTTTGGCAGCTATTCTTTTTAAATCACACTTGCATTGGTGTACAATTGAAAATGACATTCAGTTATAGATTAAAAAAAAAACTTTAAAAACAATTTCAGACAAATGAAGTGTTGCATATTGATATTTATCTGTTTCCAATCAATGTTGGCAACTATTGTGAGAAATCATCAACATGATCAGTGTCTTCACATAGATGAATATCATTAATTATTAATAGCATATCATTAAAAGTAAATTGAGCAAATTTGTTATTAGGAAGTGTGTATCAAACTGGTAGCCCTTCACATTAAACGATACCCAAGAAGTAGCTCTCAGCAGGGGTGGACTGGTCATCTGGCAATTCTGGCAAATGCCAGAAAGGCCGGACCAATTTTTAAATGTGGGCCGGTCAGTTTTTTTTTTTAAATATGTATTGTTTTTAAGTGCAGACAGCTTTTTGCTAGATGTGATTTTATGATGATGATAATAATAATAATAATAATAATAAATGTTAAGCATTTGGCCCAATCGGCAACTGCCGCCTGGTTTCAAGATGGGCCGACCCAATCCGAGGTTTACCCATACATAATGAAAATCTGGCAAGAATGTCATATTATTTCACCATCTGCAGACTAAATAGTGAATGTGCGTGTCTGTGGGTGGGGCTGTTTCGGTGTGGTAATTTGGACTAGTGTGGCTACAGTGCCAGGGCTGAATTTTTGTTTCAGTCCGCCCCAAAAGGTTGGTGACCCCTGATCTAGTCAAGTATTATTTACTGTCATCATGGCAAAGATAAAATAAATCAGTTATTAGAGATGAGTTATTAAAACTATTTTGATTAAAAATGTGTTGAAAAATCTGCTCTCCGTTAAACAGAAATTAGGTGAAAAATAAACAGGGGGGAGAATAAATCAGGCGGGCTAATAATTCTGACTTCAACTGTACATCCACGCCAAATATCAGATGGCCAGAAAGTGATTTTTTTTATATTTCAAAAATTGGTAAAATATTGATGTCTGTGATGCAGCATGTCCAGAGACTGTTGGTACTTTTAATGTGTGTTGAGACCTAAAGGTGGTCATTAATGAGCATTTTCTCATTTCAAATGAGTAGCGGCTTGAAATGGTATCCCAAAAGTCTTGCTGCTGAGAACAAATAACAAATATAAAATTAATACTAAAATAGCGGATAGCAGCTAATTATTCATGGCAACAGAAGCGTAATCTTTCAACTTTTGAAAGTGAAAAAAATACTTATTCATTTTTGTTGTTGATGCAAATTTAAATATAATTGGCATTTATAAATATAAATTGATTTATTGTCAGTGATGTGCAGCTGATTATTAATATATTAAAATATATAAATAAATATATTTTAGATACCAATTTTACTTTTGGCATCTTGTGTAAAACCCTGAAGCAAAGCAAAGCCATGCACTGACACGCTGATGTTCGTGACAAGTGTTTGAAGTGTTTGCAGCATCAGTTTGAAGCGTCGACACGCAGCCCTGCTCTCGCCTTTCACCATATTATTAAATGCACGTATAAAGAGACATTCATCTACTGTTCTCATTCTCTTAAAATCATCTTTTGACATTACCAGGAAAAAGATCATTTCAGATTTCAGCTCAATCCCACGCGCATCTGCCCCGGCGCGCGCATTACGTAATAGAGGCGCACATACTTTCAAATAGCGTTCAAAGCGCGTGATTTTTCATTTTCTTCACTTTAAATACTATTGTTGCGTAACACCTCCGCTGAAACATACGCAGATGAAGAGTGCTGTCAATCATTTAAAACAACAAACTAAAGAGTTTCGCGTGAGATAAAATAAAGCAAGCGCGCGACGACCGCGTCAAATAGTTTATTACGAGCGCGCGACTAATACAAAGCGCGTCAATCTCAACTTCTGAAAGCGCTCACTCTCGACTTACCTCATCTGACAGATGACACATCCTCGCAATATTTCCACTAATGTCATCCGATTTATTCGAGGACTCAAATGAGGAATCAGGACGGGTCCTCCTCGGCGCGCTTGACATTGTAGTTTCGGTGTCAGTCGCGCTCGTCGAATAATAACGGTGCAGTCCGCGGGAGCGCGCCTGCCATAAATAACATTCCGGAGGAGATTTATGGAACGCGCTCGCTCCCGGTGGGGGACGCAGGTGACGTATGGCGCTTTGATGATGACGTCTCTTTATCACAAGATATACTACACGGAGAGAAGTCGAAGTAAATAAGACACGAAGAACAAGTGTTCATGAAACAACAACAACAACGAATTACGGCGTGTGTGGGCTGTTTCTAATGCAACGTCTATGGGACGGAGCGTACATTTGACTTAGCTGTCTCTTCTGGCTGCTGTCTTACATTAATATATCCAATTCTGAAAGTCCTATTAACGTTATCATTCAGTTTTTTTATTATTTTTTTTTTTATTTGAGTGAATATGCATGCAAAAAAATAATGAATTGTGGTATATCCTTCAGGGTAAATTCTAGATGGGATACAGTTCTGGATACCAACATCAATATAGCATAATCTTTGTGACAATTAATATGTTTTATATTACTGTGAGGGGTTGGATTTAGGGTTAGACGGCAATCAAATCCTTTTCAATCTGTAATTTAATAATAATGTGTGTAATTACTAGGTAGGGTTTAGGGTTTTTTATATAACGTTATATATACACTGTTTCAGTGAACTTGAACAATACTATAAACATTTATTTTCACTAGTAATAAACTACAATTTAATGGTCAGTTTAATAAATAATATGAATAATTCTCTGTATAATAACTGCTCTGTTTTGACATCACGTTTGTTTGGAGTAAAGGTAAACATTAAAAAAATACAAGTTAAGGAGTAATGAGTAATTTAATTAATAATATGAATAATTATCTTTAAAAGAAACCCGGAAATGTGAAAGGATTTGTTAAAACAAGTTAAATAAGATGCATTAACCTTCATTTTAGAAAAAAAAAAAAAAGTGATATAATAGACACAGTGCGATCAAAGGTTAATATAAAAGTCAGGTAACTCTTCAACTACCTGACTGCTGATTAGAACGATCCCAGCAGGCACAAGACGTCAACATGATGTCAGATTGACGTTGTACCAAACATCGCGGGGACGTTGCATTTTGCTTGGAAATGAAAATGGAGTTGACGTCAACCCTACGTCAGACAGACGCAACCTGAAAAACAAACATCAACGACTAATGATGTTACAGCTTGGATTACAGCTGGCTTTTGCTTGCCATACCTGACAAATAAATGTCAGTAAATTTGACGCAGATATGACGTTATTGGTTCGACGTTTGATTTTGGTCACTTTCCAAAACAACCTGAAATCAACGTCATTATTGAACATCAAAATATAGGGCATATGCTGAAGCATGCTAATAGGATTTTAAATTTGTCAGTAACCTGGGTTATGCCGAGTTCAGACTGCATGATTTTCAAAGTAGTCGTGTCACAGATGTGTTCACACTGCATGACTGTCTGGGCTAGCGTTTCGTCGCTGCTTTGTTTACACTGCAAGATGGATCGGCGACATGGACATTCACATTGCATGACTTTACTATAGGAAGAATCGTCGACAACTTCGTCCAAACTACGTCTCACAGCCAAAAACACGTCGTATATCTTTTGTTATTAACTACATAATGAGAAAGAAGCCTTTAATGGGGTAGAACATGTACATGTTTGCTCACCTGGGTTTAAAGGGAATTAGCCATTTCTCCTCAACGTTGATAATAAACTAATTTCTTTCAGTATGAAACGTCAAACAGACACGGTTGCTCCTGAGTCCTGTCAAACCTCCACTAGTTTTCCTCCATTTCGTGGGTCCAAATAAACCAAAAAAGAGCGCTTTTAACTTCTCCCCCAGCCTCCCGCTGGCCTGCAGCAGGTATACACACACGCACACACAAGTGAAAGCTGCTCTCTCATTGGCTGTAGGCGATCGCTGATGTTATTTTCAGTCAAAACTCAATTCACACGGCATGATTTGAATCGCCGACAGCTCCAGATATTCAGCACGCCAAATATCTCACAGGCATCGGCGACTCATCGGCGATTCTCTCAGATCGCGTCTTTGATCGTTCATACTGTGTGATTGTCACTCACGTGCACGAGCAGCGATTTGCCTGTGATTTCAGGCATTTGTCGGCGATTTCTCAAAACCTGTCGGCGAGCCAAAATCGGGGTTAAAATCACGCAGTCTGAACTAGGCATTAATCGTTAACGGTGTTTAATGCCAATGCAAATTCGGCGCGTTTGACGTCTGTTTTCTTTAAAAATCAGTGATCTCCACTGGCTGAGTGATATCCGATATAAAGTGGGTCTCAGATTGTACAAGAAGCACTGCATTAAATTACATTCCCCCCCCCCCCATGTCTTTATAATATGAGCATTTATTTTATCCTAGTATATTCAATGGAGCTTCTGCGCTAGCCTGCCGATTCTGACGGGCACGAGCGAGCAAACGGCTTTTTGTCTTCTTTTACGCTTGAGCAACTAAGGCCCCGTTTACACTAGTGCGTTTTCAAACTAAAACGCATTAGTGTAAACGGGGCCTTAGTTTGAAACCCCATAAGTTTTGCTACAGTTACGCCATCCGTCCACACTACGTCTGAGTTTTCGAGCGCCGAAAACAAAGCGTTTCGAAAACGCTTTAGAGACCGTTTTCATCCTAAAGCGCTGCTGCTCCGTCTCAGTGTGGATGGGGGAAAACGGAGACATCTGAAAACGGAGGCGGGGCTGCCGACATTCGCTACCTGATTGGGGCTTTTGTGTCCTTGCGTATCCTTCCCTTATTCGTCAAGCCCTTATCACATGACTATAACACATGGCTTTAACGCTACCGGAAGACAGCAGACCAGCCTCCACTGTAAACAACAACATGGGCACAGAAATGGGAGCGTTGTTTGCACTATTGTCTGTTTTAGGCGCCATTGTGCAGTTATTCATTTGTTACGTTTAGTAAAAACTCTGTCCACGTCTGTCCACAAAAATACCTCTCTTGCTTTCTTTGCCATCGCGTTTATTGTTCAACCGGCATTTGTTGCTAACAATAACCAAATGCCGAGCGAGACGCATGCTTCCTGTTTATACTAGTGCTTTTTTTTTTTCTGTTGTGGCCAGGGGCAGACGCCGCGCAGTTTCCCGCTGTTTCGACGTACTTTTTGGGCTGGGCTGATCATCTTCTTATGATCTGATCCGCTCATAAAACACTCAGCAGACTGTCATGTTTTTCTGCCTCAGTGATTGACGGTGCTGTGAGCTGTCTGTCACGCTCTGAAAGTAAGATGTTTCTTTTCCGGACAGAGCGGCCCATGTGACATAAGCTGCGTCCCAAATGGCACACTATACACTATGCACTCATGCACTATGTACTTATGCACTTACACACTCAACAGGATAGTACATGTATGTAGTGTTGTCCCAAATAGCACACAAATGTTTTTTTACTAAACGGAAATTCAAACCGTTTCCCTGATGACGTTTGACGGTTGCCAAATCAGTGAAATAAACGACCGAATTATCAAATAATACCTGCCGTGAGTATTGCCGCATTCACCATCGGGAGGCGCTATAATCACTCTCGTAGGAGAATTTTGCTTTCACCATCCAAAATAAATAAAGTTATTCAACATGTGCGTCCGATAGCTCCGCCCCTTCCGCTACGTAAGCAAACCTGCGGTCGTTGAGTGCGTGAAGTGTCCATCAATACACACTTCATTTAGCGGCTGAATGAGTGCATCATCCGGGTATTTAAAGTGCACTTATTATTTTAAGAGTTTTCAGTGTGAACACACTACTTACACTATTTATACTACAAAATGGCGTAGAATAGTGCTTTTCTGTATTGATATTGTGTTGACCCAATCACAAACTTCCATGTTGGGCTCTGTGTAACGCAGGTGTGTATTCGTCAAAATAGCCGAGAGTCCCGCCTGTTTCTTACGCGTGGGTCCGCGGCGCGGGAGAGCAGACTTTTGCGTCTGCACTCTGCAGCGGGGCACAGATCAATATATTCCTGTCTATTCTATCTAGTTACCTATCTGTCCATATACATATACTTTTTAAACTTTTAATCTGCACCACGGCTGCGGCAATTTCCTCCTATAATGCTGTTTCCTTAACCTTAAGTCTTTATTTTACAAATGATAAAGAATGTCCGCTTCTCAAGCTTTATGAAGGGTGTCAGTCATGTATTTTAAGATGCACTCGGCCAGAAGACAAGCGCAGGAGATATCATGACATTGTGTTTTTGATCGTCAGCATGATGTAGGCTTATAGTGACAATAATATTTATACAATTTGGATATTATAATACATGATATTTATACATGACCAATCTGGTGTGCAACTTAAGCAACTTTTTTACATTTAGTTTTGTAGTTCTGCCCAAACTAATATTTGTTGCATTTTTTAATTGTTTAAGTTCATTTGATTGACAATGTAAAAGCTGTTAGCTATGTTTGATGTTTCATTGTTGAGTTAAACATGTTTTTTAAGGGTCTCTGACACATTGCTTTTATTATTTATCTTTATTTTATTAATCAATATTAACTTTGTGCGTCAGCAGGTAGTTTTTGTTATGCTCATTATATTCTAGGCTCCCTCAAAACACACAGGCACCCACATTTCCAGTGTGGATTATAATTTTATTTTAATAATAAATAAATAATAAAGTAGTTTTTTAATTTGTCAACTCTCGTTATTTCCTATATATGGCTTTTGTGCTTTTATAGAATGGGAGTTGGTAAACCTATTCAAGGGCATGCACAGATTTTCAATACTTTATTATTATTATTATAATTTTCCATATCTGCAATTCCTGTATTTTGGCTTTTTTTTGCAGTCCACTTAGAATCCAACATGGAAATCAATGTTTTCTTTATTGGCATTGATTGTTTTGAAATTTAAATGTCATTAACATGCCTGTGTTTTAATTTCTTTAATAAATATGGCTGTGAAGCCAGGATCTTGATGGTTTATTGTGGGTTTGTTGTTTACATGAAGAAATCTCTGTTACAAGTTAAACCAAAATTCTATTAAACAATTATATTTAGAATTTTAATTCTAATAAACAATTATATTTTGAAT